AGAGTGCATTTATGGATTTCGTATGATTCTCACTGTTAACAGCGATTATTTCCTTAAACGGCATTAACCAGTTGATCTTTGTAATGGTGAAGCGTTGTTTTCTTTGAGGTAAGCCTACTAACTAAATTATTAAATATTATTTAGAGACGCTTTCGTTTCACGGACAACTACAACTGTTGGTGTTGCCCTTGGGCAGACACGCTGTAACAGTAACAGGTTTTGTTGCATGATTTCTACAACGCAGGCGTCTTATATGCAGGTACCCAGCCAAATTAATGTCCTAGTGGTTAAATAATTTTAACGTCCGAATTTTTCCTCACAGATCCATTCATGATATGGAGGATACACGCATGTATTCAGAAGTATGAGTTAAAAGTTTAATAATCTTTCTAGGCATCAGTGCGTTGAAAAACAGGTCACTATCCACACTTTCCAATTTCTGCGTAATCAATATTTATTATGTCCCCATAATATTCGACGCTATACAAGGTCTCAAACAGCGTCGTTGTAAAACCTGATGGTCTGTCATAAATCTATGCGTGGCTGGTTATTCGATCCGTTTACAACGCTGAACTGATGTTGACATATAGCGTCGAATCAGATATGAATGATTACATGCTAAGTCATCCTGGCTTATCATTATTTATTCCACGTACCAACTTTCAAACACATCGCTCCACTGATTCGTGGCCATCAAACCAAACGCTATAGTGTATTTTTTTTACCTTGTCCATCGTCTAAATTACTAAATTACGTTTCGAAACCCTTAACAGAGATGCATACGTGTTGAACGTTAACACAGTGATATATATAGTTACCATTGTGCTTTCCAGTTTATTCAGTGTCACGTGTTAAGCGTGGTTTAAACAAAGTTATATTTTCAGCTAGAAAAATATTTCAAGACCTACAGGTGTTTAAAGATGTCAACTTTCGTTGAGTTTCTTCTTTTCACAAATGAAATGAAGCGATACGGTTTTATGGACCGTGTCATTAGATAAACTGCAAACACTCTTCTGGAGGTACACTGCATCAGGCACATAAAAACACAAAATAAACCATGTTGTATCTACAGTACGAAAGGAGCCATGATAATAACTGCCGTAAAGAACAAATTGCTGTAAATAATAGTGACTGATATTTCTAAGTTTGCGTTTTTGAAAACTTTCCCTGGTCAGATGGTGGTAGACAGACCGTCTCCAGGTAAGTTGACCTCATACAGCGCGTGACCTTGAACTAACGCCTCGTCCGTAAGCTCACACATCGTTCCACGGAACTAAAATGAAGGTTTAATTCCAATCGTTTTTAAAGGAATTTTAAGATTCAGCGTTCTAAAACACTTCAAAGCCACTACAAGTAAATATGAATATCTGTTCCCGAAGGAACCACGAGTTTCTAAAAGTATTAGTGTTTCCATAAAAGTAATAAATCCAGCTTTCGTGTTTAAAATATTAAATAATGTTGTTCATTAACTAGGGAAGGTGTTGTTGGTTGGCATGGAACGAGTTTGAAAACAAAAACTTTGGCAAGAACCAAGCTTTTCTGTATAGGATAGCTGTTAATACCGCCCACCTTCTTCCGATAAAACTTACAACTGCCTTTAGAAGCGACAAGAAAACCCGCAAGAGCGTAACTCCAACGTTGGAACGAGTTTTACGACAAAAACAGAGACATGGTAGGCCTTCGCGAAAAAACCGAGAAAGTTAAACGACACTTCATATCTCAAACGATTAGTTCAGTCTACCTCTTGCTCGGAAAATTCACGCAAAATGTTTTCCGTACTCACCAGTTCCCTGCAGGCTATTGTAACGGTAACAACACAGACTTTTATCCTACAGGTACCTAGTTCGTACTTCGTTAGACGCTCTGTTAGAACTCCATGAAAATCGAGGAGAGAGAGATATATCAATGTGCATCATGACGCATTTTTGGCAAATAACAAGTACACGTCTTCTGGTGCAGTTAAAGCGAGTAAATGTTAAAGTTTCTACAGTTCCCAAACATTACGTCTACGTCATGGAGTGTGACAAACGTGAAAGTATAATGAATCTTCGCGAGTTCTAGACCACGGTTCTAGATGAGGTGGTCAGCTTTAATGACCCGGTCGATTTACTCCCCAAGGTAAATGGCTTTTATTTCACTTTCTGTTCCAAACCATGACAGTCCTCGTTTGTCCCGCTCTGAGAGCAACTGCGTACCACAGGTGATTAACCAACTTCCCAACCGTTCAAGTAATGTAACCTCGCACGATGCTGGTAAACTAAGAGACAAAGCACGCCACAACAAAACACCATTATTTCAAACTGAAGTCTTATTTCCACAGGGAAAATTACAACCGAGACTCAATTCGAGGAGAAATTTCTCGTGAAATTCTTGGAATCAAATTCCCTTCTGTCGCTCCGGCCCGAAGATACAACATGCCTGATCGAGCGCTTCCTTGCATACAGAACGCAGAGGAACGCAAACCAACCACAAGCTTTTTCAATGCAGCTTTTATTAGCACGGCATGGCGTGTCCTCAGGTAGTGGATGGAGAGACAGCCTCCAGATACGGAGAGAAACTACCAATATACTGAATAAGCAGACCGGACAACCGACAAGGGATGGTACTCCAGATTGAAGATTAGACGTGGGGGCTAACAATTCTGCACCGTAAAAAGGCATCCTACGAAATGCACTAATGAAGGACTAGGTGCAGGCAGAACGATAATATTAAAATGTATCTTGGAAGATGTGGACTGGATTCATCT